CAGGACTGTCAAGGAGTGTGCCAGTGCTCTGCTGAGAATCAGGAATGTCACCCTGTCACCGGCCACTGCTCCTGCAGCCCGGGCTACCATGGGGCCCACTGCCACCTCCGTGAGTATTTTTGGGGGTTGTTGCCTTTCTGACAGAGAACTGAGTCTTACAGGAGCATCTGCTGGTGCTTTGGGTTAATCTGTGTCAGTGCAGCGGTGACTGAGAGAAGTAGAGGTTAATTTAAAAAGTTATAGTATTAAAATAAGTTACAGTATAGGAAGTAAGCATAGGGTGGGTTAATTTACACTAAAAAAAGTTGTTGTATTATTGCAAGGAAATAATTTTTAAAACAATTTTCTAAAAAAAAAATCATTAATAATGTTAGTTCAAAAATGTAACTAATTCAATCCTTCAAATTAATTTTTTAAACCACCAGATTTACCAGCTAAATTCTTTCCAATATCATGCCATGCTAAAGAATGTAAAGATCATTTTCTGCATTGCATTTCTCAGCTACACCTGGATACTGTGCAGCTCTCTCATTTCTAAATACCAAGTCCAAAATACTTCCCGAAATCTCTGCATGCTCAAGTAAGGACAAATGGTTATGAGAAAACAACAAGCTGAAATTGGCAATAAATCCAAGTGATTCATAAAGTCCTTTCAGTTGCAGAGCCTTCTGAGGAACAATCAAATTAAACCAACTGTTACTCTGGATTGAAAAATGGTGACTAGTGTAGAGGACAAAATGCCAACTGGCCTGATGCTCCATCATAAAAAATATTCCCAGATCCACATGGCTCATGCCGGTATTTTAGGACATCTGTAAAGTTGTTTCTGGTGGAATGTGGCAACTGATAAGAAACATATACCAAAGCAGCCAATAAAGGAGACAGTTAATTACCTTTTTATTTACAACTTTAATTTTGGTTTTGCTCCATGGCTTGTAATAGTCTCATTTAGAGGAGAAAAAAAGGGAAAAAAAAACCCAAAAAAGCTGTTGTCTTTCTTGCTCAGTTTTTTTTCTCTTTGGCAAGTGCTGATTTCCCTTTCTTGGGAATCCAGCACAGCTCTCTGTGTGTCTTAATTGCTTTTTGGGATGACAATTTGGATACAAAAGCCAGCTGTGACATGTGCAGCTCTAGTAAGGGTTAAACCAGTTTTATTCCTTGAACAGAAATAGGAGAAAGACTCACTTTGAAGATGGGCCTTTGTATTGCCATCACGTCATCACAAGTTATTCTTTAAAATATAAATTATAAATAAAATACAAAGGATTGATTCTGTCCTTTGTGCATCAGTTTTTGCTGTAAGTGAGATCGAAATCTGGCCTTCAGCACTGGGGCTGGAGCCATCTGGATCCATTATACATTAGATTATAATAAATGTTATAGTAGAGCAGTAGTGAAGATCAACTATTTAACAGGATCATTTTAAAAGACTTAATCATGGTCAGCCTATTACCTTTATGTAACAATTTCTCAGTAGTCATTACCTGTGTGTGTAGCACTAAATCTCTCATTACAGTAAATGTCCTCAAACTTACTTAGATACTTCAGGTTTTATTTCAGAATTTTGAAATTTAAAGCATTAACAATTACACCGAAGTTCTGATAGAAAAGATATAAAAATATTAATTGCAAAATAAAATCCATGTTATGCTGCGTTCAGGGCAGATTTTTGCCATGGATTTCTGTGTAGCTGGGATTAAACCTAAAGAGTATGAGATTTGAGTTTTCATGGTATTTTGTACTCTGAGATTCCAAAAATATACAGCAAATTCTTAAACACAGGTTTGTTAGATGTTTAATGAAATTATGGAAATGACAGAAAAATAGTCATCTATGGTTGTGTTGTTCCTATTGTCCCCTGGGCCACTTGTAGACAGACACACAAAAAAAGAAGGAAAACAGTTAATTGTGAGTTATTTGAAGTTTAGGTTAGTGGAGGAAGAGATTCTGGGCCTGATTCTGCAGAGGCTGACTGAAAAGCAAGGATGGTTTGCGTGACTTTGGTGGGAATACTCCAAGTTCCTGCTGTCCTCACTGCAGGGAAAGCTGGGGCTGCTCCAGGGTGAAGAAGCTCTCGATAGAATATTAAAACCAGCACAGGGAGCCGCTCCCAAACGGGCTCTGGTCCAGTCAACATGTGGTTAGATGCTGCTGGAAACAGTTTCTGGCAACTGCTGCTGTATTTATAGTACAGTGAAAAAAAAAGTTCAAGAAAGTATCTATAAAAGGTGTAGTTGGCTGGGAAGTCAAATTTCCAGGAGCCAAGAGCAATGGGGCTTTCATGTTCTCAAATTTTGGAGTGAGGAGCTGAAAAAGTCTCTTGGCAGGGTCCAGAGGAAGCAGACAAAACTTGCAGTAAGGTTCCCATCACTTGTCCATAACTTGGTGGATGGGCAGATCTACTTGTTAGAGGGAGTAAAAAGCAGTAAGTGGTGGTGAAATGATTTTCTTTAAAAGAAAGCATGGCATGTTTCTGTGACATTGACTGGTCTGGGAGCACCCAGAGCCAGAAAGATCTCACCAGCTTCACTTTCAAGCTGTAGGTGACAGGATGTGTCAGAAGGGATTATTTGACAATGCGATTTAATAGCATTGGTCAGAAATGCCTCAGTGTGTGCAATTGCTATGGAAAGATTTAGGAACTCTTGGTCATGACAAACCCACTCAAAGCAGAAGGAAAATCAGGAAATGAGGTGGAAATCTGGCTGCCACTCTTTTGTTCACAGAAAAAGCCATCAGTCAGAAGCACAGGAAACTGTTAAATTAGAAAATGTCTTTATGAGATAACTGGTGGTGCAAGAATAACACCAGCCCTCTTTTGCAAAGGCAGAGCCTACTGAAATGGCAGGACATGGTGCAAATTGCCCTCGTTATCTGCATCAAAATTCTTCTGTAAAGTACTAACAGATGAGGTGGCCTTGTTATTGAGCATGTGCACATTGTAGCAGCTGAACATGCTCTGTGTGTGCTGCTCCTTCTCAAACCAAAATACAAGAAATTCTACAAGGACAAAGAATTTGGTAAGAAGTGAATTACTGCATCCTGTTCAATAGTGGAGCAACTACTGCTAGCCTTGAGCTAAGGAATAGCTCTTAAGGATGTGCAGCATCTTTTGGAGTCTGGGAGACAGAATTTTTTTAAAAAAGGAGAAAATCCAAATGATGACCAAAAGGAAAAGAAGGAGGAAAAGAGAAACTCACATGAATTAATTAAATCACTGAATCTGGATGAGTCCTTAACTTCAAGTCTTGGTGGGAATGCAGGGGGTGTTGCAGGGTTCATTCCTTGATGCCAGGGCTTGCACGTGAAACAGATTTTGCATCCTGGCAGATGGAAGCACTGATGACAGAACATTCATTGAGAAGAGTCTGTGTTTAAGAAGGGCTGGGGAGAGTATCTGTGTTATAAAAGTGTGTATCTGTTTAGTCCTGATGATCTGCTATTCTGGTTTGAGCAGAAGCCAATGTTCAGTTTTATTTTAAAAGGCACCCCTTCAAACCTTCCCTATAAGCTCTCCTTCACTATTGAATAGTTCAGAAAAGCCAGAGATTTCTCCAGCCACTCAGGCCATGCTTTCATGCCTTTAGAAAAGACAAAATACGTGAAGTTATTTATGCACAGATTGCAAGGGATCTGTTGCTTGGAGACGTGAGCAACTATATTTTCAACCAGGTTTCTAAAGTAGCCACAGACTTTCTTTCTGCCAGGGAAGAGAAGGAAGGGGAGAGCAAAGAAATGACATTTAGAGGTATTAGCACAAGTGGAACTGTTGGATAATGACCATGCTGCTCAAGCACCAGCTACTCATTCTCCCATTTTACTGGAAAATTAGGAGGATAACCTGCATCTCCATAGTTCAGAGGTGGCACACTGGAGATTCACTGGTGCCTGTGCCCAGAAGCTTTGCCCAGCTCTTCCCCTCAGTTCCAACCTCCGTCTCTGAAGATCATCCCAAAGACGAAAACTAAGCATGGCAAATGCATTTACATCTTCCTGATCTTTTGTTCAATTCTCCTTGAACATTAGCTGTCCAAAAAGAAACCAGAAATCCTCACTACCACCTGGAAAACCTCTCCATAGGCAGTTTTTTGCCATGTAACACTGGCTCAGCAATCCATCCAGGTGTAATGATTCTTGTGGTTCTTACAAAATACAGCTTTTTTTTTTTTTCTCAGAGAATTTTCTGGCTTTGCATTTAAATAATGTTTCTCCTGTATCTATTTTCTGGGAAGGTGTCTTTTGAAATTCTGTGTTGCTGTCATGTGTACATTTTCATGGTCTTCCATCCACAGGGTTGGAAGGGAACTTAAAGCCCATCCAGTTCCAGCCCCTTCCACTGTTCCAGGGTGCTCCAAGCCTCATCCAACCTGGCTTTGGACACTTACAGGGATGGGGAATCTGCAGCCTCTCAGGGCAACCACTAACAATGCCAGCTCCAGTTTGCAGGGAAGGAGTAAATTACAGAGGAAACCAACTTTCTCCAACTTTCAGATTTTTAGAAGATGTGACCTACCCCATATTCATAAAAGTTGCTAAAAGAGGCAGAAATAGCTCACAGCTTCTTGCTGACTTGGGCAAACCAGGTGGCTGCTGCCCAAAGGAAGAGGGAGAATGACCCCATCTCTCCGTCTGTGTAGGAGGGAAAGAGGGAATACATTCATCTGGAATAGAAATACCAAGAGGAAAACTTCTGTGGAACATGGCTTGCTTTTCTTGCTACTGTCACATGAGGGGAATGGGAGAGCACAGAGTGAGGAGCAGCAGCACTCAGTCCAGCTCTCCAGGATTTGACATTACAGTCAGTGCTGTCCCATTGTCCAAAGCAGCCATCTGCTCCTCAATGCCTACTACTGGCCCTCTGAAAGTGGATAACATTAGAAAATTAAAATAAAACTTTAACTGAAAGCAACAAAGTACTTAAGACATGAAATGCAACAAGCCCAGTAGCAACCTAACCTAATTCCTGGGTATTTTTTCTTTTAAAACAGGGTGTCCAAAAGGTACCTACGGTTCAAACTGCCAAAATCCCTGTAAATGCATGAACGGAGGCCACTGTGACCCCGTGACAGGAACGTGTGATTGCGCTCCCGGTTTCATCGGAGCCAACTGCAGCAAAAGTAAGCCAACATTCATGTTCTGCTTCTGTCAAAACACAGCAGAGAGCATCATTTGCATAAGAGCTTGTCAGAAGAAAAACAGACAGATCCCAGCTACCTCTTCCTTGAATTGTAAATCAGGATTCCAGCTTTGTAAAAAATCTCTTGCAAAATATTTTCCCTCGCTTCTACATGCATAGAAGCAAGGGCACTTACCCCAGGATTGCAACCTGCTTGCCCAAATTTATTTCTAGAGCCAGCTCAGCGTGAATTGCTCAAGTTCCTTCTTCCTGTCCAAAATTTGGAGGTTGAGAAATTATCTCAATATTTTGCTTCACACTATGGTGCCATTAGTTTCAATAAATAGGAAGAATATCAAGTTTTGCCATGGCAAAACTGGTAAAGACTCCATGGCAACTCTACTGTTACTTCTCTGTTTCAGAGCTAAATGGTGTAGCTGAATTTCTGTGCTGCTTCAAAAGCTCTGGACTCTGTGAAGTTCTCTTCAGCTTATTCACAGAAAAGCAATGTTTGAATGTTTCGTTGCCTATAGCTTTGCTCTTTGGTGTTAGGCAGCATCAATATTAAGGAAGGAAAGATGTTTTAAGATAGAAGGATGAGCAGCTGATATTTCAGTTGTATATTCACTCTTCTGATAGGAAAGACAGTAAATATTCCATGTGAAATCATAATCACAAGTAGTCTCAGAAGGTAAAGCAGTCATTTCTTTGGGTGGGTTTTGGCTTCATAGTTGATGCTTTGAAGTGCATTAGGTGGAATAAAAGCAAAATCAGCTCTTCCCCTAAGATTGTGGCTAAGTTAAAAATGAAAACGGCTGGGTGTTTAACAAATCCTGTGTTCCCTTCAGGTTGCCCCGAGAGCCGGTATGGGAAGGACTGTGCCCAGGTCTGTGCCTGTGGCAAAGGCCAGTGTGATCCACGGACTGGCGAGTGCACCTGTGCCCCTGGCCACACAGGACCTGCCTGTCAGCAAGGTAACAAAGCAGAACCCAGGTCACCTCACCAGAGGGTGACACACTTCAAATACCCAGCAAATAAACTCAGTGCCAAACATTGTTCATAGCCACGTTCCCCAGGGCCTTTGATGATAAGGCTGCAGTTTGGGGTGCTCAGCCTCTGTCTCTCCACGCTCCATCACCCAGCCTAATCCTGCCCACACCTCCCTGCCACCCTCCTGCCAGGGCACTGGCTTCTCCAGGAAGCTGAGGGGATATGTCAGGACAGAGTGTTTGGGTGAAACTGATAATAATCATAGAGTAGTATCCCACCACCCTAGGGAGACCCTAATTACTTGGGACACATATGGGGATCATGTGTTTGTATTTATTCCCTGTCACCTTCATCCTTTTCTTGGGGTGCTAATTTTTGGGTTTTTTCAAACTTTGTTAATTCTCTGTAGTGTGTCCCCAGGGACAATATGGCCCCAACTGCCATCTGACATGTACCTGTCAGAATGGTGGCATCTGTGACCACGTGGATGGCAACTGCACGTGTGGGCTCGGCTGGACAGGAAGATCCTGTGAGAAAGGTGATTTCCTGCTTCGATGGCAGTGCATTTGTACTCTCAAGCTGGTGTTTGCAGTGTCCCCACACACCCACAGACAAACAGTTTCAGAGCTGTCCCTAGTTAGAGCTTCAGATCTTTTTTCAAAGACAATTTCCTCCTGAGTCTTGCTCATTAATTCCCTGATTTCTTCTTCACTCCGTTATTTCTTCTCCTGTCCAACTTTTGTGTTCTTTTGTTCATAGGAATGTTGGGTTTTTTCTTCTTCCATGTGATCCTCAGAAGCCTGTCTTCCTTCTCACTGGTTATGTTCTTCTCTTTCATTTGCCTCTGGACTGGAGTTGAACTTCCCAAGTATTGACTTCCCAGGTGTTCTGACAACATCTGTCCAAAGCAATTGAGATTGTTCTGCTCTCTCACCCTTACTTCTCCATGATAGCTGTCCCTTGTGCAAGACAAAGCACACTAACAGAATAAGCTCATATCTTAGTCCAGAATCTCTCCTGTCAGCCCAGTCTTCCCACAACTGTCCTGTCCATCTCCCAAAAACCATTCTGCATTTCTGTGTTCCTATTTTTCTCTGTAGGTAAGAGATATCTGTATAGTTATGAGTTAAATGTTCGGGAAACTACAAGTTTACTCGTATGAAATACAAGTAAATAGTTCTGAATACACATTCAAGGCAAATGTCATCATTTAATCATAACTGCCATGGTTTAAGCTCCCCAACACCCTCCCAGGCTCTTATTTACAGCACTTCTGTCCCCGACACCTGTAGAATATTCACTTCAAACTCCATATATATCTATACCAAGAACTGTTTGTTACAGGGGAGTGTCCCTATATAAAAGTGTCATATAGAAAGGACACTTTTTAGCAGCATTCTGAGCTGCAGTTGTTTCATTCTGCATCTGAGGAGCCTCAGAGCCCCACCGTGCATCTGTGTGCAGAGGAGGAGCAGGGAGGAAATGGAAGATGCAGCTACTCACAGTGTGAATCCCATGAGGATTCAGTGGCAGTGAATGTTCTCTGTAGATAGGCTGTAAAACATTTGCAGTGAACCAATATCTGGGTGACATAGCAAAGGCCACCTGTGTTCATCTCCATTTAGCTGTTCCTGGAGAGCTCTGTAGTCACCCACAGGCTGCTTTGGGGCTGCCTCAGCAGGGTGGTGCAGGTGTCCCCACATGGAGCAGTGGCTTGTGGGTGTATCTCACAGATAAAACATCTCTGGAGTGGAGCACAGGGGGCAGACATGCACACATTGTATAAGGGACTGTGTGTTGCATCATTAGAGAGAACTTCACTATTTGTCTTTTGATGGAGTGAAATTATTGGAAAATTGAGTCTTGATCTCCACAGCAGTGTGGGTTTGAGTGTGTTGTGACTGGAAATCAAAGACAGCTAATCAGGCATCCTTTTAATAGAGATTAGATATGATGTTCCTGGAAGATCCTGTCTGGCATTTGCCGAGTTCTCAATCTGATTATTTGGACGGCCACGCTCGTTTAAGTTCGTCTGCCCAGATTCAAATTATCCCAGCAGTGGGAAGTTAACTTATTCAGAGATGATGCTGAGGTTAATTATATTGGCACAGTCCCTTCTGCATGACTTGGCTTTCAGTAATTTGAGACGTGTTTAGTTCTGTAAAAGCAGATAGCTCATTATACATGGACAGACTGTTGCTATGTGTGAAAAAGATCCTCCTAGTTTTATTAGGAATTCAAATAGTGTGAACTCCAATGATAACACAGAGGAGGAAAAGCTTCATGTTTTCTTTCACACTTTTTAAGTGCCTAAAAGAAAATATTGCTGTAGATAAAGAAAAAAAAAAAGAGAAAATCTAATTTATGCCATTCACTACAAGGCTTTACAATACATAGTTCAGCATTGAGTCCATGAAGAGACAAATGGAAAAAGGCAGATGGTTAAAACTATGAGGAAATTGCTGTTCAAACATCTATATAACATAAAAGATTTCTCACCAAAGTATGTAAATGCATCATGGTTGTGCAGAATTTCTGTGTCTTCATAACAAATATTCTTGGGTCTGCAAGTCATTCCCCGGGCGTCATGTCTGGGCAATGCAATCTATCACATATGAGTTTTTCTGGGTGAGGGCTGTGATTGATTGTTTGTCTGTTTGTCTGTCCATGTCCTGCCAGCAGAATGTCTCCCAGGAAAGTATGGGGCTGGCTGCTCCTTGGACTGCCTGTGCCAGCACAATGGCACCTGTGACAGGTTCACAGGCTGCTGCAGATGCCCCGAGGGTTTCTACGGCCACTCCTGTGAGCACAGTAAGTGGAGACACTCAGGGTCATTGTCACAGGTTTGGGGCTTCATAGTACTCAAGAAACACCTCACTGGTTCAGTTCAAAATTTTGGGGATGTCCCAGATCATCCAGCTCCTTCCACATCTTGCATGTCTCTGAAGCTGCATGGTGCAAGTTTAAAAGTCCATGGCATTATTAGAGTTAAAGATAAGTATAATTTTTTGTTGGCTGCCAGGGAATGCCACAGAGAATACAGAGGATATTAATGGTGTGTACGATTTTCTCCATGAACCTTCTTCATTTTAATTTTTCAGGGTGCCCCCTTGGATTTTATGGGCTGGGCTGTCTTCAGGCCTGTGCCTGTAAAAATGGAGCAACCTGTGATGCAGTGACAGGACAGTGCCTTTGTCCTTTGGGTTATCATGGTGTCCACTGTGAAAAAGGTACTGGTACACGTCTGATGGGAAAGAAAAAGTGGGGGGAAGAAAAGAAAAAAAAAGCAGAACTCAAAAAACTTCATATAATTACTGAAATATTTGTTGGGAGCCACCACTTCCATATTTTGAGCTTAATGAATATCCTGAAACACTGAATTTGGGACAGATTTCTTGTTATACAGCTGGGTTTTCCCATTCCCTTATAAATTAACTAATCTGGTTCCAATTAGTACAGTGAAAGTCTGGGTCTCCATGATGTCTTGCAGCAATGAGTTCCACATGCCATTTATTAAAAATAAGTCCCTTTTACTGATTCTAAATTTGCTTCTAAAACTCCAAATAAGATTATTAAATAGGTGCATGTCAGACCTGTTGAGTGTTACGGAGAGGTCTTCTAGAGAGTTCTAATTAAAAATAAAAATAACTGCCAGCTACATTTCTGGGACAGATTTACAGATACCTTTGAGAAGTTAGATTAGACAACCTCAACAGAAGGAGAGCTTATATAAATATTGTGCCCATTCCACTGTGTTTGATTCTTCATTAAGCTTGGCATTTACACTGACTTCAGCAGAGAGTTTATGAGCTTTCCTCTGAGACATCCTGGGAAAACTCTGGGTTTAATGTGCATCTTGCCACTCAAAATGCATCTAAAAGGTTCTCTTGCTGTCAGGCTGTGACAGGGGCTGGTTTGGTGAGAGGTGCCAGAATCAGTGTGACTGTGGAGATGCTCCTTGTGATCCAAAGACTGGGAAGTGCCTTTGCCCACCTGGGAAGACTGGAGACAAGTGTGACATTGGTAAGGGCAATATTTTTAAGGGCTGGACTGTATATAGTTAAACCACTCTGACCTGTTGGTTTCAGAATAACTGTAAAAGGGCATTTGCTGGTGTTCAAGAACACATTGTTTGTAGAAAATTGTTCTTTGGGGTTATCGACACCTTTATCAGCAGGCTTGTACCTCTTGATTTAATCTATATTTAAATTGATATACTGATAGGAAAACTGTTCATGGGTCAGCTGTAAAATGTCATTTGCCTTGAATTTTGGAGAACACAGGCTGGGGAAGAAGAGACCAAGAAGTTTTGCAAATGCAGTGGGGGAGACTCCAGAGGGTGCAGTTGGGCACTAAGGGCTCCAGTTGCTGTGAGTTTTGTCACACTGACATTTGTGACCCTTTTCAGACCCCTGCAAAAGTATGTCCAGCTCTGGATTTGCTTCTCCTGGAAGCAGGATGGAAGCCCCACAGATGAGGGTAGTGGAGCTGCCCCAGCTGTGTGTGCTTGCTCCTGGCCTTCAGCAGCAGCTCAGGAACTTCTAACCCAAATTTAATTCCCTCCTTTGCAGTGCAGGCACTTGGGCTGTGTGTTGGCCCACAGGAGCAGAATTCTTCCATAACAAGGATATAAAAATAGGTGAGAAATTTTTCCTGTAGGGAAAGCCAGCCCCACTGCTGTACCCTGATGAGGCTGGGTGCAGGGTTGAGAGGAAGAAGTGACAGATTCCTGAGCCAGTCTCTGGTCACAGCTGTGGCTCTGATCAGAGTTCAGGGCCAGGCTGGAGCACCAGGTCTGGTGGTGTCCCATGCCCGTGGTTGGAATCAGATGAGTTTAAAGGTCCCTTCTAGCCCAGGCTATTCTGGGATTATGATGGAGCAGTTTTAGGGTAAGCACTGGAGTAAAAGGAATTGCAGTGGTTTAACTGAGGGTCAGTGCTGTGACAGACAAGATAAAAGGAGTGAACATCCATGTGCTACAGTGGAGCTTCACCTGGAACCAAAATCCTTCTGAGCCCTTGAAAAAGAGGAGGAATATTATTTCTCCTTTTGTTCTAGGATGGGGCAGATATAGATTTGAATAGGCTGTTATTAATACAAATTGCTGTGATCTTAAGCATTAGTGCAACTTGCAAAACTAATTTGACTCCCTCTGTGCAGTGTCCTGTGGTCAGGAAATGAAGCTCTCAGTCTGCAGCACTGTTCCAGTGGAAACATGAGCCACCCTCACTGCCCACACTGCACTGGGCCCATGGGCCTTTCCAGACAAATTTTAGGCAGAAGTGGAACGCAAGGGGGAAGCTCAGCACCAAAAATGGGAATCGAGGTTTTCCTCCTTGCAAACTCTGCGAGTCATTTTTATTTTTCTTAAATCAGCTAGGGTAGCCCCCATCCATGAAAAGCTGTTATGGGGTAGGTTTTATTTGCATTTTTATTTTCAATTAGACTCAGTTCATCTGTGATATAACTGTGAGCAGCTGTGACTATGCAGCAGCCATAAAGATAAAAGGCCTGATTTTAATTTGAACTCTGGTAAAGCACCCATTAAACAGGCAAAATGTTAATTAAAAAAAAAAAAGAGAGAGAGAGAATATAACAGACTTTTATGGGCATTCTTTTTCTGTAGTAAATTAACATTGCAGACTTTCAAACAGATGTCTTAAATACACATTGTTATTAACATGAAAATGTGGTATTACATAAATTAAAATCAGGTCCAGAGGTGTTTGGGGAGACCTTTTCTCATAATATTTCCTAATTGAAAAGGCCAAGTTCAGAGCGCATGGGGCGAGTTCTCCCACGTGCTGGGGCTGCAGCTGATGCAGGGCTCAGCAGGACTTTATTTACCCGAGGGTGCTCGTGGGAGAAGGCAAATTCCCTGGTTACAGGGTTTTTCAGCGAGGTGAGGGAGAGAGGGCCATTGTTTGCTGTGTGTTTCACACCCTGCCTTGTGACCTTGCTGCTCATTTTCCTTTCCTGCCTGTCCTCTGATGCATAAAAAATTGCAGTGAGCATTTACCATCCTAGGTATGAAATCTATTTGCGTATGGAAGTGAGATTTTTTTTTTTGTGAGTTTAATTTGCCAGGAGGCAGCAGAACTGTGCAATCAGAGCAAGACATGAGTATCTCTAAAATGGATTCTCCGTGTCACATTCTGTGAAGGAAGGCTCTTGGCCAGCACACACTGACAGGAGAGACGGGGCAGGAGATAGTGTGGATCCAGGATGCTGACAGCAACTTTCCTGAACAGATCCCAAGATGTTCTCTGTTGAGCTGTCAACCCCTGTTTTTACACCAGTAATGATTTCCATTCTGGAACCTCTTCAGGACAGCTGGGCTGCAGCTTGGGCAGAGCATGTGGCAGACAAAACTTGATGGCTGCCGCGCTTTGCCAAATGCCGTGTTTTAATGTGAGCAGATGAAGGTGTCTAAGCAGCTTCCTGATCCCACAGAAAGGCGGGGTGGGGGGGACGGGGAGGACTACCAGGAGTGTCCCAAACCCTCTCCCAACCCCTCGTGTCCTTGCAGGGTGCAGGCCAGACAGGTATGGCCCCGGCTGCTCCCTGCGGTGCCAGTGTGGCGGCAGATCCCGCTGCAACCCCCACAACGGCAACTGTGCCTGCCCAAACTCCTGGATGGGGCCAACCTGCACAGAAGGTAACCAGCCTGGGGGCTGGGGGCTGGGGGCTGCAGCTTTTCCTGCTGGGATAAAACACGTGTGGCCCATGCTGGTGGTCGGTTTGGATGGGAGTGTCAACCCACTGGGTTGTTTGGATAATTTCTCTTCTTAATAAAATAGAGTACGGAGGGAAAGTTTATTCTCACTTGTAGTGTAATCACAATTCTGCCCTTAGTTTAGGAAAAACTTTGGGAACCTCCTGATTTGGAGGTGTTTTACAGTTTTGCCTGTGCCCTGCCTCTGTGAGGAGGCCACTGAAACTCCCTCCTCTACCTTCTTTTCAAGGCTACCATTTATTGAATTATTTAAGTGTAAATTGTATAATCTATGTAATATTTCAGTATTAGGTTATATGGACCTGAAACTATGTTTCTACTTAATTCTCTAGGTGGCCCTCCTAAGCTTCCTTTTTACGAAGAACAAGCTCAAGAAAGAGGGAGTATTTTTCCAAGAGCTCTACAACAGTAACATTTGGACTAATAAATGAACTGTTTTATATGCACAGACGGTATTTGAATTTGGATATGAAAACAGTTATTCAATTCAGCTTGAATTGTACTGAAGTATTCACACTTCTTATGGAAGACTACAGAGGCCATTTAGTAGCTGGATCCTTTTAAAAAGTTGAATCTGTTTCATGTGCTCATTCCTAGCCTCTTGTCCCTCCATTAATCTACTCTGGACATTCTTTCTGATATTAATATAACTCATTGCTTGAAAGCCTGGACATGTTTTTAATCAGACCAGCTCCAAAGAGTATCAGGATAAGCAGCGTGTAACACATCACCATGGAATGAGCCACGCTCCATATCAGGAACTTTCTAAACCCACTTGACAACCAGCACCAAGTTTGAAGAGTGTTCCACAGATTAATTCTCTAGAGATTCACTGCAAAATAACGTTGCACAGAAACTAGAGGGATTCATCAAGTTAATTCCTCTTTAAGTAACATTGTTTGTTCTAGAGAAGCATGCAGTCAAATTTTAAACTTGCAGCTGAAGAAGAATCTGCCACGATCCTACAAGAGTCCTTAATACATTGTTAATTTATTTAAGAACATCTTCTGCATTTCTGGTGTTGTTTGACTAATTGAATGGTCTCTGTGTGAGTCTGTCTTCCAGAGAGCTTGGTGTTATCTGCCAGACTCTCCTGGCATTCTGTGTTCTCACATCTTACCAGATGAATTTCTCAGTGGGTTGTCAAGCCAAACTGTGCAGCACTTCTCATCAAACAGTATCTGCTAATGCAAAAAAAGGTTTAATCCTAAATGGAGAAAGCAGGTAGTAAGCAAGGAGAGATGCTTAAAGATAATATCTTTGGGGTTAGTGCTTTTATTGAGCAATTTTTTTTAATCAAGTCATCTCACAACAGTCCTGATGTTATTCAACAGCTGCTGGTGGCCACCTCTTAGAACAGAGACATTTTGGTGCTATTTTGTCTGTTTAGACAGGTTTACTTTGGTATAGAACTACATCATTATAAAGAAATTTATGTTCTGTATTTTAATATTTTGAGTTAATCTGAGACTGAAACATTTCAGAGTGCCTCTTTATACCTCTCTTTAGGTTAGGAGTTACAAAATCTGTGTACTAACCACTTCATTCTGACTGTATCAAAAGTGCACTTGCACTTAAGAAGGGGCATCAGGACCGTGGTAGACACAGAGTATGTGCAGTTCCAGCTCTTGTGCTGACACTCCATTCACCACCAGAACAAATTGCAGGTTTTTGTTTTGCAAGAGACAAAATTACAATAATTGTTGGTAACCTGGGATTTTTGAAGAGGTTTGTTGTTGCGGTAAGTGATGAGTTGGTGAAGCAGGATCCAGGAGGTTGGATGGGAAGGTGAGGTAAAATTTTTCTCCCGTGGTTCACCCCAGGTCTTAAACACATCTGCAGTCAATGACTGTCCACACCAAAGCAAATGGCACTTGCTCCCCTGGGATTTTATTTCAAATTGTGATCTATGGGAGGCAACACAGTTTTAGGAGGTGTTTTCCAAGCTTCATGGAAGTCTTATTGTTGTTATTCATCACTTTGTAGGTATTGAAAGTAAAAGTATTTGTGAATGTGTCAAAGTTAATTAACTAACTGTGCTTTCAGGCAGAAAATCACTGGGGCTGATGCTGATCCCTTTTAATTTCTTCTGTAGAGCTCAATGAATGTCACTGAAAAGTTCATTCAATGTAAATGTGGCAAAATTATGGTTTTAAAGGCGTGTGACTCTCAGCAAGGCAGTGACATTTTAAATGTTTTTTTGGAGCTGTGATGGCCTGGATCTGATCTGACAATTATGTGAATTTGGGGCAATTTCACTGAACAGGAACCTGTAAGGTAGATCTCCTGTGAGACAATGGGAGATAATCTTAGCAACTGCTGGAGAAGAACAATTCAAGTTGAGCATTTGACATATTTTTGTTTTAGCTCTGTATTTACTGCAGAGCCAAACTACAGCCGTAGTGCAAGTGTCACACTGTACTCAAGATTTTTGTAGAATTGAGTGAGTAAAGCTGTAGAATACCTCTGAAGGTCCAAGCTTCCCTTTAAAGCCTGGTCAACTTCATAGTCAAATGGGTCAGAGATTTATCATTCAAGTCAAATTTCAGAGATTCATCCCACCTCGTTTTGAATATCTCCCAGGATGGAGATCCCACCACTTCTTTGAACCTGTCCTAGTGGAGATTTCATTTTCTTCCTATTTTTCCCTGGTTTCTAATCAGAATTTCTTGAGTTTCATCTTTGGTCCACTGCTTCTCATCCTTTCAGTGTGGATCTCTGAGGAGCCTTTGTCTTCCTCTCCCCCACGGCCCCCATGGGGTAGTTGGCTACAGCCTTGGTCTTCTCTTCTGAAGACACCCCATTACCTCAGTGACCCTCCACTGGCCACATTCCAGTACATCAGACTTTCCAGTTCATTCCAGCTGCTCAGAGACTGGTGTGGTTACTCAGCAGCTCGTGCATAAAACCCTTGACACTGCTGTCAGACAGCAGAATGTATCAAATGTACTGTTTTTCTCTTATTTTTGTAGCTTGATGTGTGATTTGAGCAGCTAATCAAAGGGGAAACCTTTCTCAAGCCATATTATTTACACCTGTGTATACTGGTTTACATTTTCCACAGTACCTTGATAATAGAATTGTAAATATGTAGTATAAGGAAATAGAAGATTTTTGTATTAAGTGTTTTTCAAGGATGTCACGATTTTAGGTACATGATGGAACACATATTTGAAGTGACTGATACTGAGCCTGTGCCAATGAATTAAGAGGCCCAAGTAGATCTGCTTTGGGAAATATTTCAGCAAACTCTTTTTTTAAATAAAAAAATGCCAATTCATACAAACCACTCCATATGCATTAGACTTTTTTATTCAAAATGTTTCTTGGCTTTTTTATGTTATTACCTTGGGAAAAGAAGTTCACTTCAGTGCCATCAAACAGAGCATTCTGATTTGTGGCTCTTCATGGCTTCTTGTTCCAAAATAAAGTGCAATCATACACAGGTAAAATTCAGAATTAAGATTTCAAAAACGTTAAAAAAGGAATTTTGACTGGGGTAGTTGGAGTATCTTATCTTGGTTCTTATTTTTTTTCATAAGGCAGAGAAAATGTTTACAGGATTTTGTTTTTTAGAAGAGCCACACTTTACATTATTAACTATTAATTAAGGAAGTTTCCTTGCTTCTGATATTATTGTTCTGATTCTGCTCCTTACTACAGTTTAACACATTTACCTAATTCCTTGCCTACAAAGTAGTCTTTATAAGACAGGATGGAGTTTTTTTTAATGGAAAACTGACTAAATCAGCTTTTCCAGAGATTAATTTTGTGGCAAGTGAGTGTAGTCGCTACTAAATTAACACAACTTTGCTTGTTTGCTTCATCAGATTCCAGTGAAAGAGTGTCAGGCTGATATAGTCCTGACCACAGCACTGGGGCTTGTTGAAAATGAAAGTGAAAAATGCAGTGAAAACGGGGCTTATAGTTAAATTGATGTCCATCTTCCTCTTGGTGGAGGCATTTGCTGGCTCCCCATTTCCCAGGAGGCTGAAGTTAATTACACTTCCTTGAAGAGCGCGCTGTGTATTCCTCTGTAACACACTTGCACGTGCAGATAACTCCTTTCAGAAAGACATTGGAATTATTTCAGCCATGCAGTTCCTGTGCCAAATCCCCCTCTCTTACCTTGTGTGCTCCAGATAACTTCAGTTTGAGTGGGAAGGAGTTGAGTGTAACTCAGTGGGCCCAGCAGAACCTCGCTCGCTGCGAATTCATGAAACCAGAACAACATGTTTTAAGTTAGACCTCACTAACACTATCCTCATAGGAAAACAATCAGAATTTTAAAAATTCCCCGCTTCCCCTGCCAAAAATTATTATTCTACTTTTATCCTTTTTATGTTGAAGAACCATAGCTATTAAAGTTTGCCCAGATTCCTTGCCAACCATATTATTTTGATTGGCTGCAGGTTTCTGTTTGTGTAAGTAATAACCAGCATAGTGTCAGGAGTTGCCAACGGGACAAACATGGAAATAATACCTTCATGTCCTTCCCAGAAGAGGCAAAGACACATTTGGGAGCCATCGTGGCTTCATTGTGCAGATCAAACAGTGACTGTTAGAATTTAGCTTCTTATCAGAGCAAACGAAAGCTTAGGAACAATCTTTGAGAGTGCTGGTGGACCAAGAAGCCTCCATTCTCCCATCCTTTCGTTAATATTTTCATATTTAGGCTAGAAACCTTCTCAGTCCCCAGTTTTAGAAGGACTTTTCCTTCAGTTTAACCTGTGGCTGATTGAGCAGTTCCATGCACGGGCTGCAACTGTGCCCAGTAACACTTTTGCAAGGTCACAGCTTTAAATTCTGACACTGTGTAAAGCAATTTCCAGCAGTAAACACCAAATCTCAGCCTTGTAGAGCATAAATTGTTCATTCTGTTCTTTCTATTGCTTTTAATAAGCACTTGCATAGCAATATTATGTCTCTGTGAATTTGTAACCCCTCTTCAAGGAATGTGTGGGATGTATCTCAGATTTGTGCTGTACTTTCTGATGTAGATGTGTTGTAGTAAAAGGAGGCTGTTTTTTTAATATAAACATGTCATTAAAACTTGGTCTTGTTTTTCTATTATTGCTTGTCTTGAAGCAACAGGCTTATGCTGTGGATGAGACTTTATTCTGCTGAACTAATTCACATTCAGAGCAAACAGGCTGAAATCACACCCGCTTTTAGTAGTTTGTATAGAATAAATAATGGCCTGTGCCCAAATGGGTTTGTATATGATCCCCGAGCAGGGCAACCTGGCCCAGTGTCTGAGCCTGACAAATAGAGCTTTCTGGCATTCGGACTCCAGAGTATTAGAAATATTCAAAACATGGCATAAATCTTGCTGGAAGAGGATGATTATGAAGTGTAACATTTCGGGAAGGCTTGGGCACGGAGCACTTTGAAGGCATTTGAAACCACACACCTGCAGCCTCCCATCAGCCTGCTTGGGCACTTCCCAGAGCCCAGTTCTGCCAACAAATTGCCTGGTTCACCTTCAGGGTATTGTCTTCTCACACTGGCAGGAGGTGAAGGAACACGTGTGCCTGCTTAGTGCCAAATAATGCAGTAGGAGTGTGCTGGTTAATTGGAAGTAGCAGGCTAAATTGAATTCAAAATGTGTAACAAAGGGGGAACGGTAGATCAAGCTGTCAGAGAAAAAGTGGACAACTCTGGCTTGCTGCTTTCTGGGAGAGCAGGCTTGGATTCCTTTTGAAATTTCAGGGCAAACGTTTTGAATTGAGCTGTGTAATACTGCAGGGTTCTTTCTGTCTTGCGTGATTTACTTCACTCTTCCTGCAGTTTTCAACAAGGAACAAAATAATTAAATTCATTTGGTTTGTCATCTTTTTGACACATGTTCTAAAAATAATTCTATAATCCTTGCAATTTATCCGGTAATTTCTTTATTAG